CAGCTGCTCTGATCCTCTCCTTTTCCTTTCTGTTTGGCCAAGATCTACTTACCTTTGCAAGCAGGAACTGATATGCAACATTTTGCTTCTCCCCCCCCGTTTTGTGATAGGACTACTGCTTCAGCAAGCTGTTAGGTGTCCAGTGTCTGTGTCACCGTGCTGGGCAGGTTAAAGCTGTGTCCCCGTGGCCTTCCCATTCACTCTGCCATTGGGTCAGGGAACGTGCAGCTGCCTGTAGCTGTGTGGCTATGCTGTGTAAGGCTGGAGACCTCACAAACTGGCTGTTACAGATGAGGGAGAGAAAGCAGTCACAGCAAATTCAGCTGTGATCAGGATGCTGTTGATACTGAAGGTCACTGTGTGCTCTGTAAGAGCCCTGTGCAGGCAATATTCCTGATGAACAGTGAGCAGCAAGCAACAACTGAAATGCAGTTGTTTCCACTGCTGTGACTTTCAACCAGAGAAAACCCCACGTGTCTTGATGTTAAGACTGACACAGGCTTGGTTGTTTTTTCCTAGGGTCCCCTTGGAATTCAGAATCAATGGTTTGTATTTACAATGGTCCTAAGGATGAAATCAGGGCTGGCAGACTGTGATGTGTGAACTCGCATACATATACAGGCACGCAGAAAAAGAAGGATTTTGTTAATTAAGCTGAGACATTTTAGGCAGCCTGTGCCTAAACTTCAGCCCTTTTTGGTAAAAGGGACTTTTCTCTTGGGTCTCTTTAATGTCACATTCCATTTACAAGGGTAACAAATGCTGTAACTTGTTTCCCTCTTCCCTATCCCGCAGAAAATGACAGAGAGGAATTTCTTTCAATGCCTTTGATAAGCTCCCTTTCTTTTTGTTCCAGATAACTTCAAACGAGAAGTGCTTGGAGAGCCTGAAGAGTGATGGCGATGCTCTGCTCTGTGCTCTGCAGAGCCTGGCCCAGCCTGCCAGGTGCGTCCCCTCGGGCTTCGGGGCTTTCAGGATGGGAGCTCTCCGCCTCCTGTCTGCTGTGACTTCTTCCAGCATCGCCTCCTGCAGCAGAGGCCCCTCAGGTTTCCACCCTTGCCCCCCCCCCATCAGAGCTCAGTGGCGGATCTGGGGCCTGCTTTGATCCCAGCTGTGGCTGGCCACAGTCAGCTGCACCGCCAGCCTGTGCTGGTGCACATCTGTCATGTTCAACTTGTTTTTTATTTTATTTCAAACAATCAGTCTCTTTTATAACCGGATACTGGTCCGTGTTTCTTGGCATGGTGGGTGAGATGCACAATGTGGTAGTTGTGCCCTGTTTTAAAGTAACCAAACTGTGTGGTATGCTTGCAAGCTGATTTTTATTTATTTATTTATTTATTTTCCTAAATACGCAGCTGAAGAACAGGGATGCTTTTGTTTGCAAATACCTGTGGCTTCCCAGCAAAGCTTTGAGGCTGTGGGCACTGCCAGGGCTTCCTCTGCAGGAACAGAGGTGCTGGTCCCAGCAGCTTGGCCAGACCTCAGCTCCTCTCCCTTGGACTTTCCCTCACCACCTAATCCTCTCCTTGGACGTATAAATGAATGAATTGCTGTTCTCTGCACCCCAACTGCAGGCCGTTAAGCTCCATTTTGCTCCTGGTGAAAATAAATCAGAGATGGTATTTTATAGATCAGTTCTTGAACTGCTCAGTTTGTGCAGTGCTCTCTGTGCTCCCAAACACAGGCAGTGGTCTGGGATGACACCTTGATGTCATCCCAGTGATGGGAGCAGGGATGTGAATAGAGAGGAAATGGTCAGGAAGTGGTGAGTTTGAGGATCTGTGTGCTGGGACACACCAAGCCCATCCTGAACAGCTGCTGACTCACGTTTTTTGTATGACATGGTAAATAATCCAACTAACAAAATGATAGCTCTCCCTAGGGGGGATGCTGGCACTGCCACTGAAGATGACAGTGATGTGACGGTGGGAAAAGAAGATTTTTTTTCTTGTTTTAGAACGTTTTCAATCTCTCACTGCATTTCAGTGTTAAATGCGCTGCACAGCCCATCCAGCAGCCAGCTCTGAGTCTGTCTTTCTGATCTCCTCTAAGTGTTATCTGCACAACTCTGTACTCAGAAAACCACATACTACAGAGTCCAAAATAAGCAGCAGCTTCTCTCGTTTGACTCAAGATGCTCAGGAGACCAAATCATAGGGCAGGCTCCTCTGCTTGTAGCAGTAGCAGGAAGGCTCCCAGGAGCTCATGGATTTCATTTTCCGTCCTCCCAGATTTTAAGGAATGCACATCTCTGTCCATTCACCTGCTGAGGAGCCTGGGAGGGATCTAGCCTGCATCTCAAGCATGGACAAACGGCCTACAGGGTAGACAGGGAAAGTCTGGGGTTAGCATGCTCAATCAAGTGTAGCCAAGTGGCCTTTCCGTATATGAACGTTACAGGCGTTCTGCCATCTCCTCAAACTCCCTCTCCTGTGCCATCTTCCCTACAGTATCCCTTGTCACCTACTCATTTCAGCCTCCTCTTCTCACCTGTGCTTTGAACCCTGCTAAGATGCCTTTCCAAACTTCATGCTGAATTGGAAACACGGGCAGCCTGATCTCCCAGGCCCTGCCACCCACATACCATCACTAGGTCGGAGTGGGTGAGGCGTGTTTTTGCTTCACTTGTTTTTCACAGACCGGTTTCTCCTCTTTCAGCGCAGCAGAAGGAAGACAACAACCAAGCAGTGCCATTGCTGGCAGGGATATGGCTGGGCAGCACGCTGCTCTCGGTGCTCTCTCCTGCTGCCTTGTAGCAGCTGCCTCTTGCCAAACTCTGTTATGTACTGTTGGCTAGTCAGAACAGGCAGCCCTGGGGTTGGTATGTAACCAACCCATCAGGCTTAGTAGTGAGGTGGAATTCAACCTGAACTTCAAAACGTGGGGTCTTAGCAATGCGCTCCTCAGTTGTCAACGTGCGTTTGTTTCAGGTAACTGAAAGTTCTGCTTTAAACTGATGCTCGTTAAGAAATCGGTTTACAATGTGGGCTGATCTTTGGGATTTCATGGGCAGTTTTGTGTTCTCCAGAAGACAGTGTCAGTAGGTATTTGTCATTAGCAGCAACAAGGGAAGCTGCAAGTTGGCCTGCTGCTGTACTTCCTGAGTTAATAATGAAGGATGGCAGACTATTTAAAAAACAAAACAAAACAAAAGCAAACCCAACTGCTTGTTTCTGCATGGGAGAAAGCAGAAGCGGAGTCATTTTCCTCTCAAGCTGTGTGCGTGTGGGATTCATGGGGACATGGTAGATTTTATCTTCCCGTTCACGGAGGAGATTGAGCAAGGCAGCAGTTACTGTGAATTTAAACTGGATCTCATTTTTACAGAAGATCTGCTGCAGGATAAAATCACTAGTTGCGTGTCCTTGCTCAACAGGAAAATGGGATAAAGTTACTCAATGGGTAATGCTGGGAATCTTCCAGCATAGATAATTGTAAATGGGGGGTTTAAACAAAAAGTTTTCCCTTGGGAGTATTTAACAGCTGTCACTGTGTTCAATTCCTAGCTCTCACGCTGATGTTGCTGTTGCCTCCCTGTCATCTGAAATTCTGAGAGCAGTGGCACATGAAAATCCAAAGCTGACCAAGTGAACTACTTTGGACCAGCCCACCAAAATGCGCAGCTGTGCCTGATGCTCAACACTGTCCTGAATCAACGTCTTCACACAAGCAGAGCAGTCCTAATTCACTCGGAGAGCCAGTGAGTCGTGAGCCACAGGCATGGTTTTGGCTTCTTCAGAAAGAACAGCTTTCTTCTTTATAGCCCCTTATGGGTGAATTCTTGATTACTGTTTTACCTTGCTGGCAGTGTGTGATGTAGTGTGAGTGCTTGACAACTCGAGTTTGAGAAGAACAAATAAAATAAATAGTTTAGTTGTTTCACAGTATGGGCTGAAAGTGTTTCACTATTCTAAGGTGTGTTAGAAATGTGACATTGGTGCCTTAAAGCAACTGCATGTTGCTGCCACACCTAGAAGGCAGGGACCTTCCTGAGCTGCTGCTACCAGCCCACCTTTGGACAGCCCTTTCTCCAAGAGGGGAGGCCAGCCAACAACACAAGGTAAACAAACTGACCTCACCTTGTACTTTCTACTGGAATTGCTTTCTCACAAAACCTTTACTATCACTGTATCTATCCCTTTCTAAAGCCTGACAGCTGGAATTAGAGCTGGAGGTTTCAGAAAGGAAGAAAATCCTGCACATTATTTGGTGAAATGTTTTGTAATAACCTTCTAGTGCACATTTTGCTGGGAGGAATGAAACTGGGTTACTCAATGAGAGGTCGCCATAGCTGCAGTTCGTCTGCTCTGTAAGCAGAGGAAAGCACTTTTGTAGTTTGCTTCAGCTCTCATCTCCTTGGGATCCTACGATGAGCTGTGATCCTTTGCAGCTTTTTCCCCTTGTGATCTTCTGCTGGCAAGCTGCTGCTCTGAGGCAGGATGAGCACTCTGGGCAGAGGCTGGTGACAGCTGCAGAGTGCAGATGTGCACAGTCTGTAAATTAGCCAGCAGTTTAGAACAGCATTACTCACTTCCAGCTGCACAGGTGCTGCCTCTAGAGAAAGCAAGCTGCATGTAGGTCCTATCTCAAGTGGGAACTGAAGGCTGAGTACACCTGAAAATGAGTTAAAGCTAGGGGAACAGCTGAGAATTGTGAAGGACCTTCTCCCCCTCATACTGACAGTATGCTTCTGACATATGCTGTTCCTAATTTTCAATTGATTTTTTGGCCATAGGGCAGTATGTGCCTCGCAGGCCAGACACTAAGTGTAGCTGCCCTGCTGAGGAAGCTGCTGTAGCAAAGCAGCTGCAGTTCAAGAGAAAAAATACTGCAGGAGGAAGCCTCTGTGGTTATAGCTCTGAGCTCTGAAGGACAGAACAGTCCTCAGTGGGATGGTTTCTGCCTTTGAAGTAGTGAAAGTGTTGTGCAATTTGAGAACAGGTTTTGGAAGACCTGTCAAAGCATAACTATACAGACTGAAATAATTTGACACAGAGTGAATTAAAAGTTTACTTTAATTTTGAACCATTTTATAACTGCATTTTTCTCATGAAGCATCTGTATCACAGCAGGCTACAATAACTTTGGGATAAAAGGCAACTGGTAAACTGTCCAATACAAGGTTCCAAATAAACAGTTCTTACTGGCCCCTACCCAGACATATCCCAGATAAAGTTTTTGATCAAAAACATGAAATAGATCCACCTGCTTATTTTAAGCATATTAAAAAGGAAACTAATTGGACCATTTCTATTTGTCTAGTTTTTTTATACAAAAAAGCTACACAATGTTACACTTTATTCAGAATACAGTTAGAGCGATTATGAATTAGTGTTCTACACCTTTACTCAATCCTTAAAAATTAGAAACTGCTGTAGCATGTTCACTATAACTTAATACTACGAGAGACTTAAAAAAAAAAACCTAACAACAGTTACTGCAAAAAGAAAGGCTACTTTCAAAGCAAGCAAAGGTCAGTACCATTACAGAGATTTAAAAAAAATAATAAATTTTTAACAAGCAAGGCTAGGGTTTGATAAATTCCATCTTGCAATTCATTCTTGTGCATTCCTCATTTCTTGAATCACTCCCAAAATCCATTTGTATTATTACTCCTCGACCAAAAAGGACCAGAACAAAAAGTTTACTTCAATTGTTCCCATAGGAAACTCAGCTTGGTTAGTGTGTCAGGCACTTTCTGAGATACTAGCCCACCCCTCGAGCCCTCTCAGCAACTCTACAGGCCAATCAATGCAAGTTCATTCAGATGATACAGCTGCAAAGAAGAAAAAAAAGATTAAAATGTCAGTGTTCCTTAGTAAACAGCATTTTAACATAAAGACTGCATGAAGCTGGTGATGCACAAGACGTTACAGTTAATTACTTCCACATTTAATGGCAGAAGTCAGTTTGGATTGTAGGAGTGTAGTGATCGTGTGTCTCCAGAGCGTTTTTTTTTCAGTATTCTGTCACACTGGGACCCATTTAAGCCATTCCCTCCCTGCCAAGCAAGTCCTGAGTCCAGTAATTCGTTTCTCTCTTTTTGTTTTGTTTTTAAATTCAAGATTGGAGCTTCTTACCTAAAGGATGATTTACAGGTCAGTATCGAACCAGGCCAACTGATTACTGTCACCTGGAGGCAGCCCATCCATAAGGTCCTGGGCATGGCCAAGATCTGGCAGCCCATCAACTGGGTAGTCAGCACCAGGGTGGTGGCCACCCATTTCATGTTCCATCATAGGGTCCATACCCAAGGCATCCTGACCGTATCCGCCAGAGTGGAAAGAACGGTAGCTAGGATCTAGGAAAGTTAAAGGTGGCAGAGGGAAAAAGAGCATAATGTTAACAGATGTTAGACGCATCAGAAGCTGCAAGTATCAGTGTGTGAGAAGATCGTTGTAGCCATCTAATTGTTTTTCTAGTTCAGCCAAGTTCAAAACGATCTGCTGCCTGCCCTTAATGACTATTCCATCGTTTGAAACAGCCTTCCAGTGTGATTCTGCAGACAAAGCACACTGCAGTCAGAAGCACGAGCAGATTCCAGCCAAGCCATTAGTCTGCACAATCAACAGTACTAAAATCCAACAATACTACAGCAAAACCGGGCTACGAGACTGCAGACTTTCTTCTGAAAGACTAGTCAAAAATAGCTCAGAACCCGTGGGGATAGGCTTGAGTTTAAGTCTACAGACACTTAAAGACTAATATATACAATACCAACATTTGTTTTAAAGAAAACTGCACTTTTGGAATTGTCAAGTCCATCTGTAAAGGATTTAAAAGATTTTTGGAAACAGTAGCTCAGTGGGAGATTCTCTTGCAAGACTCAGACAAGCAACACCAATTTTGCACATTCATATGGCTCCCATTTCAGTGCAGCCAGAGGTGTTGCAGAAACTGCTTATTTGAACTGGCAGTTCCCCATCTGCCTGTCAGTTTGCAATATCTTGCTGAAGAGTAATTCACTCTTAAGTCATTTGCAGTTCTCCTTTACAGTCAGTGACTTGACTTTATTCAGCTTAAGCTTAGTCAAGGGGAATGGAACAGACATACCATCTGGGCGGTATCCAAGAGGCTCTCCCTGGGCACCAATGTCAAGTCCAAGATCCGCTGTCTAGATGTGCACAGAAAGTTACAGAACGGTTTTAATGTCAGCTCTTAGGGCCAACACTAGTAATTGAATTTAAGAAATTCTAAAGCTTGCCACAAATCCTTTTTTAGCAACTCTTCTGCACTGCACACAGCAGTATTACACTTCTGTGAACGTGAAATGTCTTTTCATCCAAGCATCTGCACCCACTGTCTAACAGCCCTATTTAGATACAGGAGCCATAATCACTGGAAAGAGACTTCTGTTTGGGAACAAGTAGGAAGAGGCAGGTCTGGGAGCACTGCTCTGGTATACCCACCCAACCTCTGTGAGTCAGCTGGATAGAGATTCCTGAGCTAGTGACAGAGCACTTAGTTCCCAGTGCACTTCCCCTGGTTTGTCAAATTACTGAACTGCATGTCTGCAGTGTAATGAAACAACCTGTATTTCAAAGAGATCTTCCATTTTTGCTTTGTTTCCTCATGTTACTATGTTAGATGGATACAGACTTTAGGAAATCAGAAATGAGCACTTAAATACTACAAGTCAAAGGCTGCTACCTATTATTAACTAAGTCAAGATAAAACTCCTGAACCTCAAGGATCTGAGGAAAGACAGACTTAGTGAAACATGCCCTAAAGGCAGTTTTCAGTCTCAATTCACTGTGCAGGACTTTAAGCATGAAAAAACTTCATGTGATAGCTTGCAAATACTTCCAAGTCTGATAGCTCAATTCTCAATTAAGGAGAACACAAACGACATACCCACACCAAGCTTCTTAGTCCTACAGGGTTTGCTAAGAGTTCTTACAGGATAATGATATGGTTATGCTTTGTATCCTATCATTCTTTCCTCAGCATTTGCCACCAGAGTTCATCAGGTTTGGACAATCTGCAAAAAGTGGCTGAAACTCCTAGAGGTTACTGCGGAGCTGTCCTTTGAACCCAGAAGCAGCACAGAGACGTACAGAATTCTTATACACAGCTTTACACAGAGCAAAATGAGATTTAGAAACTTTAGACTCTTCCTATCCGAAAAGAAAGCACTAAAGTAGCAGCTCTAGGACTGCTCATTCTTCATTCTACTTGAGCAACTCTGTAGTCTTAGAAGGGTTTCCTGCCCTATGCAGTAGATTCCCAAGACTGTCAGCATCACCTGTTTATGAATAAATTGTTCTCCTAGGACAACAGTAAGCACTTGAAGCTTGCCTAATTTTCTGCAAATCTATGAGCACGTGTTCACTGAACCTGAACATGCAGAGTAACGAAGCTACAGACGTGTAAAACTGAACCCGTATCACTGATGGCATCTACACTTCACTACTGGAAGGAGGAGGGACTTGAAAGTGAAGTCTGCCCAAGGTGCCATTCATACAGGGACACAACTCACCTCGTTCCAAGCCATTGGCTCAGTCCGGAACAGGGAGCTTGTCAGTTCAACTGAAAGTCGCTTCTTGTAGTCTTGTGGTTTGTCCTCAGACATTCTGAACAGCACTGCAGCTGCATATGTTGCTATTAAAAGAAGCAAATTTAGTCAACATCAATTCTTCTAGCAACTTTTCTAACTTAAAGCATGAAACTTATTTTTTTTTTAAGTTCACTTACCAACACCCTCATTCCTAGAATGAAGCAGTTCTGTTAAAGGGGCAGTTGCACCTTCAGCTTCAATTGCTTCAGCTGCTTCCTTGTCTTGAGCAAGTTCACAAAGTACACCCGCAGCTACTCTCTGGATATTCTCAATGGGGGAGTACAACAACTGCAATCAAAACACAGGGTTTCTTTTAACTCTTCTGTCTGAAAAGTACAATGCAAATTAGCAGTTCTACCACCAAAGCATTGGAGCAGTTATACTAGTTTTTCTAGCATGTACTACAGCATTTTGTTGAGCTCCCGCTTACCTGCACAAATAGTGGAATGGTATTTAGACCCCTGATTACAATTCGATTGTGAACATCACGTGCAAGAATATGCAGGGCTCCAGTGCAGCCCTCAACGATTTCCTCCATGCGCACACCCTCCTAAGTCGGGGAAAGAAAAGGCATTTCAGCTGAGATCTTGAACACCATCTTCTAACAAGCTGATCATTATCAAAGAATCAGCCAAACTTATCTCCTGCACACACATTCCTCCCCCAGCAGCCCTCAGTACTCACTACCTACTGCTACCTTCCAGCTTAACATCCCTGCTAAAACCTGGCCTAGTTTATCCAGCTAAATTCAGTGAGTGAAGCATTTCAGTGGAACATCTTCCTGTGTTCTCATTTTTTTCCCAGCCCATTATAAACTTGACATCTGACAATACTGTTGTTTTTTTCTCCAAGCTGAATTCACTTGGCCTTTTACTAGGTTTGAAAGTGCTACTCGGTGATTAAGAGGCCCTGACTGTGCAAGTATTAACTACAGTCCTGTACCAGTAGGTAGTGCTTCCTTTTGCCTATGCTAATGTAACTTCCCCTTCGTCACCATGTTTAACAGGGGGAGGGAAAAATCAAGACTGATCCTGCCACACTGACCTAGTATGTTAATTATGGAGCCCGTGCAATTTCTCTGTACTGGTACAGCCCTAAGCATGAGAATATGCATTAAGCTGTGACAACATTCCAAAACTCATAGTGCCAACAAGGAAGGAACTTCCTTGTGAAGAACTACTCTCTTTGCCAGGGTAGGCAAAACCAGTATTTCTACAATCTGCTGCATTCAGAAACACTTCAGATCTGCCAAGGCAGAACGATCAGCATACCAACAGAGTAATACAAACCAGAGCAGAAGTTAAGAAAACAGCTCTTTAGGTAACTGTAGTTCCTGGTGGCCACTTACCACAAACTGCTGTTGCGTTCCACCCATGGAAGTACGTCGCTGGGTATCCTGATGTGCTCTGACCAGCAGCTGAACTAGCCGTGGGATGGCACCCTGCTCACGCAGCGGGGCATGGTTTGCAGGGCAGAGCGCGAGATTGCGAATCAACCCAACGGTAGCCTGCAGTTCAGAAAGGAGGTGGGGAATAAGAGAACGTAAGGGGTGTGTTTGCTATTTAGCACTGTGTTTGTTTGTTATTAAATCAGTTGGTCCCAAACAGTTGGATCTCGGTAAGAGACAACTCGAAAGCTGCTCGTTTGAAGCAGCCTTTCCATCAGGCAAGTTATGTTCTCCAACGCCTCGGAAATACAGTATTTTTCTCAGTCAATGTTACATTAAAAAGGCACTGGTTTTCAGCACTGACAGACATCAGCCATTATTTATTTACCTTGATCAAAGGCCAGTGTGAGGGTGGGTGCAACAGTTTAACCACCACTGGCAGTCCATAATGGAGACGTACTGCATTTTGAGCCATTTCAGCTTCCTGATGTCTGCTGGTGAGGTGACGGAGCGCACAAATAGCAGGTTCTGTGATGTCCTCCCTGTCCCCAGCTCGAAGAACTGTGCGCACAAGAGCCTCGATGCCACCAACCTGGCAGACCATCATCTTGTTCTTGTAATTGTTGCAAGTAAGATTAGAAAGGATTCCGGCAGCACAAGTCACAACATTAATATCATCTGATCCTAAAAGCTGAACAAGAGTTCCTAGAAGGCCTTCCATTCCCTCCTGCAAAAAGAGTAGAAGAAAATGTAGTCTCTTTCCTCTCCCACTATTTTGATCCTGATCCCTTAGAAGGCCCATTTACCTGCTTGGTTGCTGCATCTGACAAATTTCTCAGAGTCCAGAGACAGTTCTGGACAAGACGCTGACTTGGATCTGTAAGGTGGAGTCCTAAAGCTTGCATTCCACCTAGAAGAAAATGGTACATGTTTGTCACTCACTGTTACTCAAATGCTCACCCTGTAAATGGAATAATTTTTCTCACAATATCTCACAAGCTTCTGGTTCTTTCTTTGGATTAGTACCCTACTATGCCTAGACCCTTACCCTTCAATACATATGAAGAAAAAAAGCTATGATTCTCTTTGTGATGTTGACTTAAAACGTATTAATATTCTAAGGAGACAATTCTGACAACATTCAGCCATAAAGGCACATAGCTAATTCCACAGCAGACTTAATAAAACCAGACTATCTTTTATACTTCTGCACACTTAAGGCCTCTAAAACTAGTTATAAATCAAAAGACCAACTGTGTTTAATTTCCAACACTGGCAAGCTTCTGTTCTCGTTGGTGCAGAATGTACTGATTCTGAAGTCCAGTATACATTTATTTAAAAAAAAGGAGGAAAGGGAAAAGGAAAGGGGAAAGGAGAAAGAGGTACAAGGAATGTACTTACCAGCCTCAACAATAGCAGGTTTGTTGCTGGAGCAGACTGACAAAACCTTCAGCACCCTACTCGTGGTCCACAATAGTTTCTCATAAGTATAGGTCCTCATTATGTTTACTAGAGCTTGGGGTCCACCACTTGCCAGAATAATCAGCTGAAAGACAGCAGAAATAAAGCAATATAGCACTTATCTGTCACCTCCTGGTCATGTGAGTAGACTGGCTTGCACAGACCGTGTGCTACAGATCTCTAAAAAAACAACTACTGGTCAGTTCTGTAAACTGTTTGACCATGAACACTTCCACAAAATAGCATCCTTCTTTCAAGGCCAGGACTGACTGGCAAACTGCTCGGCAATTGACAAAATCCTTAACTTGACATGGGATTCAGAACAAAGACATCAGTACACAAGATCCTTTAAGGCCATCCTTAGCAAGTTGCTCATTAGAAGAGGTTCAAGAGCTGAAGCACTTACCTTACTTTCTTGATTGCCATAGGCTAAAATCTGAAGACAGTCTGTCGTGATGGCCAAGAATTTAACGTTTGTCTTGTTGAGCAGAGCAACCATTTTTTGCAGCCCTCCAGCCAGACGGACTGCCATTTTGGCTCCTTCCTGATGTAACAGGAGATTGTGAAGAGTTGTAATGGCATAGAACAACACAGAATCCACTGGAGACCTACAAAAGGAAAAGCCTGATGAGTATCCGGACCTACCACCAACAGCTCAAAGACACAAATTACTGTCTCAGCAATCCACATACCCAAGCATTTTAACCAAGGCGGGGATGCCTCCTGATTTGAAGATTGCCAACAAGCCTTCACGGTGATGTGAGAGATTGTGTAGTGTGCCTGCAGTACAACGGGCTGTTTCCACATCGTTCGTATTCTGCATGGTACGTACAATTGCAGACACCATTTGAGGAGACCTCATAATAGCGTGGCGAGATGCTTCCTTTTTGGACAGCTGATGAACCATAACCGCAGCCTTGTTTACCACCACCTACAGGAGTATGGAAAGAAAGCTTCTGTGTAAGGACATCAACAGATCCCCACAGGCACGCTAGACCAAAGTTAACAAAATATGAAATACTTACCTGGTCCTCATCATTCAACAGTTTGGTCAGTTCTGGGATTGCACGAGTTGCAAGTTCAGCGTCATCCTGATAGTTTATCAAATTAACAACGGCATGTTTCAGCATCTGGGATGGCTCAGCCAGGCGCTGCACATTAGTTGGATGGGCAGCATCAAATTGTGTGGATGGGATTTGCATTCCTTCATCCAGTGTTTCAGGGAACATAGCTGCACGCACTCTCTGAGCTCTAGTCATTGCGTATTGGCCATCAATATCTGAAAACCAAGGCAAGTATGTCTTCAACTCAAACAGGAATAATATTCCTCTAGATTAATAATAATTCAGTATTGACGTTTCTGTATTATTAAGCTGCACGTCTAAACAAGCTGGCGTAGTAGAGAAGGCCTTACCAGCAACTTGCTCCTGGGTAAAGGACTGAGAGAACCCTTGCTCCCACTCATACAGGACTTGTGTTGTGTCCACATCTTCCTCTTCAGGATTTCCTTTGCCACTCAAGGACGGAGCAGTTGTTGTGGCACCAGAATGGATACCAGAGTCCAGATACGACTGCTGCTGCCAATGACTGACTGCAGCTTTTCTGTCTGGCTCCATGGCCATATCTAACTCCATCAAGTCAGCTGTAACAAATCATTGAACAATTTGGTTTAGTTGAATTACTCCAACATGTATTAGTCCTTCAAAAAATAACTAGGATTCCACAGTAAAATAAACTGTTACAAACAACTACCTCAGCCCAGCTGAGTCTAGCACAGAAAATGAGACAGCCATTTTAAACTGAGGCATTATACCAGTGCAGACATTTATAAGCCTGACTAGCAGACAGAGCAATCACTGTTGTTGGGACTTAAGACTGCTGCTTAAAGGCTCCCTTTCCACATCATATGATTAGGTACCTGGCCATACTTAGGTGACTCAAAACATTTACAACGACAAAACTCTTTGCAGGCTGAAGTTACTGTGGTAAGATTAATTGCTGCAATACAGTAAGCATTATTCTATTCAAGGGACTTAGAAAAGATAAAAAGGAAAGTAAGGAGCCAGTTTAACTCTTCTTTATTACAACTGGTAGAGTCTAATAAAAAATTAAGTGTAATAAATTATATACCTTGGGTTGCCATGTTCCTTGCTGTGCTCCCAGAACTCTTTCTTGCTACCTTTCAGAGACTCTAAAAAAGAGCAAGAGTAGAACTTATTAAACACTAATCAGAGCTAGTAAGACAGGATTTCATATTCTAACAGTAGAACTGCAATCTAAAACTTACACATATTGCCACGTCAATGCTACAGAGAGTATATCAGTGCTAATTAGCAACCCCCCTATGGACACAGAAGAATGAGATATATCACCCAGACTTCTGGCAGACTGTATGTAAGATACATTCACTTCTGCCCAAGATGTGCTGCAGAGACAATGGCTAAACACTGGAATTGCTCATTCCCTTCTCACTCTGAAGATATTAGCGAAACTGCTTGATACGGGGCTACAATAAGGATTTCTGCCAGGAAAGCTTAACGACCATTTAAGGCAATCTACCATCATTTCAGTGTTACAAAAAATTGTAACTGAACCTCCTTCTTCACTTACCACAAGAAAAAAGGCTTCTTTCTATATAAAATACTTTTCTTGTGAACTTAAAATGGAAAACTGAACCAGGTTTGAAAATCAAGAACTCTGCTTCAGTTGCACTCATTAAGTTGCTAATTTTTTTTTTTTTCCTGAAATCCAAGGCACAGGAAGCTGAGCTATGATTAAATCTTGTATCAAATCTCGTATGCACATCCTTTTAATATCACCACACACTACCAAAGTACTTGTACCATACATTTGTAGCTCTCTCCTCATTAACACAGACGGAGAAACTCAAGGCTGCTACTTTACAGTGGTCAGTCAAAGCTGTTGTGCTTTTATTTGCTCCCTTTCCCCATGCAGTCCAACTCTGGGGGACTGTTGTCTCCGTTGTGTTGGGGTTTTTTTTTGTTACTAGTCTGTATCAGTTTTATTGGAGGGTTGTTTGTTTTTTTTTCCAGCACAAACACAGTGCTGATGACAGCCTTTTCTGGGAGCTAGCCAAGCAGAAACATTTGTAGTGGTAACTAGTGCAGAGAGCAAAACCATCTCTTCCAGCAATCAGCTTTCAGTGTGTGTTCGGTGTTAGAGCTATGCTGATCAAAACATTCCTAGACAATGAAGTAACGGCAAGGACAGGTCTGCTGTACTGTGTCAGGAGAACAAAGTCCATTTGACGCTTTATTTGTGTAAAGACAGACTTAGCAGTTTAAGGATTTCATTCAGGAGCAGCTTTTAGAAAATGATAATTCAACAGAAGACAGGCCTGCAGTTTCAGGGCTCTCAGTGAATCGACTACGCAATGCTGAGGCAACGCTGTGTTCTGCTGTCTGAGCCACTTGCAGCATACCCCAAGCAGTTCCTGAGCAAACCCATTACTCTGCTGCACAAACACCAGTGCTGCCTGTCCTGACTTAGTGCTCTCACCATTTCTGGCAGCAGCCCTTTCCTGACTCTTTCAAAATGGACAGCAGATTTGCCTCTGTAGCAGATAAGCAGCACGGAGCTGATTTAAGATACAACACAACATACAGTAAATATGCTGCTGAGCAGTAGGAAATGCTGACGTTTCCAAATGGATCCTACTCTGCAGCCTTGAGGAGATGAGCTGCTTCAGTCTGCTTCACACATTCCACTACCTCAAATGCTGCAGAACAATTCTTTCCAGATGCTGCTAAGAGTTTGGGAGTAAGTGCTGGTAAAGAAAGGGAAAGAGAAACTAACTCAAGCTATCACTTCACCATTAATAAGTAAGTTCTCCTGGCTGTCTAAGTCAGCAGAAGTGCCGATACAACACCCTGATAGCACGCAAGCTCATCCATTATTTTGCCAGCCCCACTAACACCTTCCACACAGAAAGAAGCAGAACAGTATTGAAGGTAATCTGCTAAGCTCAATATCCTTTGCACAAAAGATCAATGCTGACTGTAAGCTCCCTTGCCTGCTCTGCTAATAAGAAACCAATCACCAGATTAGTTCCAAAGTTACTCCAGTGGATGAATAGCCAAGAGCACCAAGACAGTCAGTACCATCTCACATTCAAATATGCAATAGGGAGCTTGGGGAGAACACACATCACTTCCTTCTGCTATTGAACTCTGCACAAAGGAAGGCAGCTCGTTTACAGCAACTGCACTCCAAAATGGCTCACTTTCAACATCCTGAAGAAATCAGACGAGCAGCGGTACTGATCCAACAAAGCACATCAGTCAGTGCACAGCAATAACATTTAAAAATGAAGCTGAAGAACACCTGCGGGTTAGCAGTGAGAACAGAGTTAAGCATTCAGAGCTGCATTACCAGTCAGATACAGCGTGACTTTGAAGCACTGACCTTAGATCAGCCTGCTTACTGCACCTCAAAGTTTCTAACTTCCTAATCTGCATTTCATACAACCATAAAGCCCCCCAGCACTTCCAGCCAGCATTCCTAATTTAGATGTGAAATTGGATTTAATCCTCAAAGTTAAAAATAACCACAGATTAAAGGCAGCCAGGGAAAAGCAGTATGTTCCGACTGCTTTTAGGGTTTCGACAACTGAATGTTCTTCTGTATTTCGCTTCCTACTCTGTTCTCTTCTTACGAGGGGTTCAACAGAGCCCAGGCAAGCTGCTGACTCCTCCCAGTGCGTATCACTAAGCAAACTGCTGCCTCTGACAGCAACAACCCCAGCCTAGGTGCAAAGGTTTGTGCTGTTACCTCTCCATGAGGTAACAATGATCCATGAAAGTGGATCATTGAGGGAAAGGTAAACAAACAGGAAAATCCCAACCCTGCAAAGATCATGAGGCTCCTTTACATAGAGCTCCTCCTCAGGCTTCCTGGAGACAGGACTAGAAACACTGCATTGTCAAGGTCACGGATCTGAATCATCAGGAAGAAAAAGGATTTAATGCATTTCAGAAACGAATATTAGCATCATAGCAAACTTCCATAGCCCTCACTAGTTTTACTGAGTGCCTAGTGCCAGAATTCAGGCCTGAATTCCTCGAAGTATCATGTTATGCACAACATATATCCACATGGCTGCATTACCAATGGTTAGTTCTACTAACCTCTTGTAAACCTCCACCAGGACATCAATTTATAGACATCAATTTATTTAGCGAGCACCGTCAGCTCCAGCTTTTAATGGACTTTTATAATGAACATGCACCAATTTTCTCATGATGAGTACTAACAAGGCACTGCACTGGACTGCACCATGTACCCTCAGTCCCATGCATGCACTTGAGATCTTCTGTGAGTAGAACAAGTTTAACTTGAAAAAAGAGTAATTCAGATTTCTCTGTTCTCAAGGAATGAAAGATGAGGAATATTTTAACGATCGATTAACCTTTGGCATTAACTTCTCATTTTCAAGGACAGTGTATGCCAAGCAGGTAAACGATCCGTCAGCTTCAATGAAACCTAATTCTCTTTCTAAAGAGAAGCAGCTCCAGCAGGACACAAAGCACACAGAATTGTTTACTTTTGCTGTCCCACACATGGAGACAATTAGGAGAAAAGCCTGCTGCAGGAGGCAAGTACCAGCCTGGTATTTACCTGCTTGCTACATTAAGACAACACCATTTGCAACTTTTCTGTACTTTGTCTAAAATAAACTCACTTTCACTGTCAATCTGCTAGCCTGCACAACAGCTCGTATTTGCAGCTGATATTAAACAAAGTATTTCCACCTTCTTTCAAGGTTATTGCCTTCATCTGAATAGAAAACCTTCATTAAAATTGACTTCATTTATGCATAAATGGCCATTATGCCTGGTGATAACCTACAAACTGGGTAAGTGCTTAAGCTGAATAACAAAGTTTTTAAGTCTTCCAGAAATCTTTTGTTTGAAAGCAGCATTTTGGAAAGCCTGATATGGGAAAGGAAGTCTGACACATCCCCATTGATTGACCTATTTAAAGCCTACTGCCCATGCTCTCACAATCCATGTCTCATCTAGGACCGACTACAGAGCCACATCTTTAAATTAACCATCAGCACCAAATGTCACAAAGACATTTGCTTAGAACAAGCAAATCTTCATCTCATAATGAAATTGCAGCAGTTAAAATCACGGCTCACACCTACAACTGAAGAAGAGAAGTACATGCAATGACAGTTTTCTGCTGGAAGCTTTCTTTGGGTCTAATTTTGTGATCTGCCTCTTTTACCACATTAAATATGAAAATACTTCTTCGCTCTTTCCTCCAGTTTTTATTTTTACCAAGGAAAAGCTGGCCCACGCTTCTCTCCCCCAGTTTTAACTTCAGCTACACAACCTCGCAGCAGGCAGGCCTACTTCCACTGCTTTTAGTCACACAGAGACACAATCCAACTGAGATACACACTTCAGTATTGATTTCAAATAGCACTGAACTGATGAACAAGAAGCCTAGAACAAGTTGAAACTTGTTTCTTTCTCCTCCATAGGGGGAATCCCATCATTTTAGCTCCTTTGTCCATCTCCGAATGTTTAACATCCATTGGGAAGTGGTGCTCAGGGACATGATTTAGCAGAGAATTGTTAGTATGGTTAGGTTGTGGTTGGACCTGATGCTTGTTAAGGACTCCTCCACCCTGAGAGATTCTATGATGCTATTTAAAAGCTACAAGGGACCTAAAAAAACTGATTCACCTACAGAGGAAAACATGTACAGCAATTATGGAAAGCAATTACACTTGGATACTGGCATTCAGCTTGAAACTTCGCTGATCAAAGTAAGGGAAATACTTCAGGGACAGGGAGGTGATTGCCCCCCTCTACTCTGCTCTTGTGAGGCCCCATCTGCAGTACTGTGTCCAGGTCTGGAGCCCCCAGTACAAGACAGGGAGCTGTTGGAGAGGGTCCAGAGGGAGGCCACAAAGATGATCAGGGGACTGGAGCACCCCCCCCACAAAGAAAGGCTGAGGGAGCTGGGCTTGTTCAGCCTGGAGAAAAGAAGGCTGTGGGGTGACCTCACTGAAACCTATCAGTACCTAAAGGGAGCCTACAAACAGGAGGGGAGCCAACTCTTTGAAAGGGTAGATAACAGCAGGACGAGGTCTTAAGTTGAGGGAGGGGAGATTTAGGTTGGATGTCAGGGGGAAGTTCTTTACAGAGAAATGGTGAG